ATTTGGTAGGTTACATTTTTTATTGTCAACTTGACAATATGAAATTTTTCTGGATAGGAATGTTCTCTGCCTAAGTAACCAATAATAATATATTCGTTTAAATAAAGTATGATATCATTCAAGAATTCGTAAAAATTTAAATATTTTATTGTCAGAGACATTCCCACTTTCATTATACATATACAGGGTATCCCAAAAAAGTAGCCCAATTCCTTAGATCATTTTAAGAAACCTATATTAATATTTTTTCCCAATTGCGGCTATCGTGTTTAATATACCGGGTGATTTGCAACTAGCGCCCTCTATGAGTTAGGTAATATTTGGGCTCAAATTATGATTTGTCATCCGAAAAAAAACCGGTGTAGCAATTTTTAGCCATCTACTTAATAAAACCACAAAAATATAATGAAAAACGTATTTTTAAAATTAAATTTGTCACCCTGTATATTGAACATGATGACCCCAATCGAAAAAAATAATAATACGAGATTTTTATACCGCCATAAGGAATCTATGGTTAACAGATTGGCCTACTTTTTTAGGACACCTTGTATAAATGAACAATCTCTATAGAAAAAAATAACCTAAAATAATATTATTTTCCATTATTTTTAAACAACACTGTGATAATTCGTGACTGCTAATTTAGAATTATTTATAGTTAACAAATTAATTGTTTAACGAAAATGACCTGTCCTCTTAAATGTAACAATAAAAAAATGTGTTTCTTCAAACGTCAAAAAATCCTGACATTTTATAATTTTATTTTGACTTTTTGGACAATAAGGCGTTGACGTTGACAACGCAGTAAAAGTACTTTTATTGTCGCTGATAGCGGAGGTAAAAATACCAACCTCTTTTTGTTTTGAAATTCTAGATTTTTAATAATTATTAGTTTTATAACAATTTACTTTTGAAGAACAAATGTTTTATTCTGATTAAAAGGAACTTGTTACCTATTATTGCCAGGCACACTTTGTTCGTCCGGCAAACCTACAGACGGGTCACAAAAGTACCTTCCACTTTTAATCCTAATGAAACAATGCTGATATTTGTTAATGACCGCCAATCTTGTCTAAGTGAAACTATTGTTTCCTTATCTTCCCAGATTGGATAATTACTTTGGCAGTGAAGGCCATCACCATCGCAAGTTTAATGTCAACTTAAAATTTTTCACTCGTTTGCCTAGCCAGTGCGTGATGCATTCAGCTTTTTCCGCACTAAAAATTTGAGTGTTAAAATACCTAATGATTAAATCGATTTTCTGAAAAATAAAGCAAAGTGGAAGATAGAATTTGAAATTTAAGTTTCATTTTAATGTTACATAAAAAAATATTTAAAATAATGACACTCTTATTCATTGGCGACTTATGACCAAAATATTGGGGTTCACAATGACAGGGTTATTATAATATAACTTTCTAAAACAGTGGAAGTTTTTTACCTACATATGTACTGTGATTTAAATTCTGTCATTGTGAACTCCCAAAATTTTGGTGACTAGCGGCCACTGGTCTTATTTAAAGAAGTCTTAGGATAATTGGCTTTAAATAAACATATTATTTTGAAGCCGTCTGATTTATTACAGGTAACATGATCATTGTACCATTTTTTTCTTCTGTGTCAGCCCTATCATCGACTTTTAGCCTCGTGTGAGGTATAGGCGGTCCTACTGTTTCCCAGCGCCACTTTAGGAACAGCACTGTTAATTAGAACCCAACAGTGAATGGCCGAGTGGGTACCCTACCTATGCATTAAAATTAATTTTTAATTCATTTTAAATAAATAAAAAAAACCCAGGACCCTGGATCCGAGAATTCTTATTCTAACCAACTTTGAGTCTTGAAAAAAACGTTACGAGTTGAAGAAAATATGCTTTGCTGAAATGAAAATGCTGTAGTGAAAGTAATGTCATAAAACAGGACAAAATTAGAAATAGAAATATAGACAATTCCGGGGCTACACCAATCGGTACAATCATACCTTTTGGCTGACACTGTAAATTTCATTTATATTTTTACCTCTTATTTCCTTTTTCTTCAATTCCATTCAAGTTTTCCCTGGCCTCCCTTCCTTTTTGCTTCCTTTTTCTATTTATATATTTTTCCTGATCCGTTCTTAGATAACTGATTTCATTCTTAGTCAATATTGATTCTTGTTTTGTCATGTTATAATTGTCTTGTGATAGACCCCTTCTGTGATGTCAAAAAGACAACTATCAGAACATGCACAAAGCAGTGGATGTTTAAAAAATCTCAGGAATGGTGGAAATTTTCTCCAGGACAGAGACAGGCCAAAGAGTTCTTAAAAGGACCATCGCCTAAACTCACCGAGCATATACTAAGCCTTAATACGAAAAATACTAGAGTACTAGTAGATCTATTGACAGGGCATTGTAGGCTTAACAAACATGTATAATATCGGTCTTGCAGAAGATACCTTGCCCGATTCTGTCAGGAAAAAAAGGACAACTGCAGAACACGTATTGTGCTACTGCGAAGGTCTATCAAGACTGAGATTCCTTACACTTGGAGTAGAAAAACCAGGGGCAACTAGCTACGCCGGAGAAATACTTCCTAGTGTATGGAATGAATCTACTACAAAAGACCGAATTAAACAAGGTACTCTAAATAACGATTAAACGATATTCACAATAGATCTGAAAAGGGCGGGGTGGGGGAGGCCACATGGCCCACAGTCCTAATTAAATCTAATCTAATTGTCTCGTGATTGGGACAATAACAACAGCTTCCACTTTGAACCATCTTAGGATCTATTGTGACTCATGCCTTGATGCTCATGCTTGATTACTGACTTATCAGAAATACTGAAGAAAGATGAGTTTTCTCGGTGGGACGGTCATAGTGTAGTTTCCTGGAAGACTATTTCAAAAAGTCGATATGTGTCCTGGGCTGGAACTCTATGTCATGTAGAATTCTACTTATCGCTTTCTACAATAGATTCTTTTGTGGCACTCTGTGTAACATAGCGGAAAACCAACAAGTATATACTTACTACAGGATAACTAGTTTCATAAGAAACCACATTGCGATATTTCCCGTGCGGTTGATAACGTAGTTATCACAAAAGAAAGTAATCGATTCCATTGTAGAAAGCGATCCTGTTACCCAGGATTACTGACAACATTTCCTTTCTAACTCGTAACCATTGGGCCATTCACCCTCCATATTTCGTAAGTAATTTCACCTCATTGAACTTATCCAAAGAATGCGAAACAAACCATGTAATAAACATCTATAAATGACAAATCAGGCAAGATGTCTTTTATTTAAAAACTCTCATGGTAACTGCAAATTGATGTAGATGTACACCATCTTGCCATGTTCCTTCAAGATTGCAGCATAGAATCAACAGTAATTTCTTATAATCATATACAGTGCTGACAAGATGAAACGTTCGGTCGCTTCGCTTGTATTTGAGTGAATAATTAATGGCGCTCGTACCTGCAGGAAAAGAAACGATTGAGTATCAACGTTGCTAATCACAGATCGATAGCACGTTACCGACCTCTAACTGGCAACCACATCCTTTCCTCTCCTGCACTGCAAATGTCATTTATTGTTCACTCCAACACAACCAAAACAGAACGAAAGATTTGAATGATTGGTTTGGTTGTTTTTTAGGTTTTGCAAAACAACTATCTGGCCTCATTTCACATAGAGGTATTTCCTGCATAATCATAAAATCCTGCAAAATTTTAAGTTTATTGCTGCTATTTGTATTGTATTTATCAAAATGTATATTTAATATAAACATAAAAATATGTAAGAGTGGCGGTATTTTAAGTTGTTTTATTTCATAAATATCAAAACAAAACAAATGATGATTTAGATTTAGAATCTTATTCGTCCCCTTAAGGTGATTACAGCACCCCCTTATAATTTTTGGACAAGGATATCTCAAAAAGTAATGTTTTTAGAAAACTTAAATTTGGGCAACATAAATAAGGCAATAATATCTAGAATATGCATATTTTTTAAAGTTTTAATTCCTTCCAGTTTCCGAGAAAAAAATCAAAGGGCTTTAAATTTTGAAATATCATAATGAAAATAAATGCATTCCTTAACAACACTATTCTTAATACAATCCCTAAATTTAAGCTCTTAATCTCTTGTTAATGATTTTTTTAAAATTCGCCGAAATTAGTGGCTAAAACGCCTCGTTAAGTGCTATTTTCTGGTTTAAACTGGTGTAAACTGGTGTAAATCGTTGCAAGAAACGAATGATGACTCAGAGTGTACGAAACAATAGTTACAGACGCGTTACACTAGAAAGAAGCACTTAACGAGGCGTTTTAGCCACTAATTTCGGCGAATTTTAAAAAATCATTAACAAGAGATTAAGAGCTTAAATTTGGAGATTATATTAAGAATAGTGCTGTTGAGGAATGCATTTATTTTCATTATGATATTTCAAAATTTAAAGCCCTTTGATTTTTTTTCTCGGAAACTGGAAGAAATTAAAATTTTAAAATATATGCATATTTTAGATATTATTGCCTAATATATTTTGCCAAAATTTTAATTTTTTAAAAAAATTACTTTTTGAGATATCCTTGTCTCAAAATTATAAGGGGGTGCTGTAATCACCTTAATACTACAATTAGGTAACTCGATTTTTTAGTGTTTTGGGTTATCTACTTTACTGCAACCTTCGTGAGTTGCTCTTTGTAATGGTACAAGTGGATAAGTCGTAAAACACCTACGACTTATTCACGAAGGTTGCAGTGAAGTAGATAACTTAAAGCACTAAAAAATCGAGTTACCTAATTATAGTATTAAGGGGACATTATAATAACAAAGAGTCCAAGACAATAAGGGTTTTTCCACCTTATTTTTCAGAAAATGGTTATAATTGTTTTATTAACATTTACTTTTACTGTTTATGAACTAATTTGAGCAATTTTTTTGAAACACTGAGTGTTTATTTGGCGGCATGTTTTGCTGTGTGTTGTTTGAGATTTATTTTTATTTCTTCAGGCCTCCGAAGAACAATTTAGTGCTAGCTATCCAAATGTGCGCACGGTCGCTATAAAAAAGGTATGCTTATTTTTTTCACTATGTATATAGAATTTTTACACTTCACACAACACACACCACATATTTTATTATCACCAAAGCATGGGCGTAACTACGAGAGACGTGCTGATTTTTTTTAGACCTTTGTTAATGTTCTGCTCGTTACAAAATATTAATTAGAAAATCTCAGTTATAGTTTTATTGGATAAGAAAAAGATCAGTATGGATCACGTACCTACTCATTTTTGACTAACAGGAACAACGGTGGATTTAATCAAGGGTAATATACCAAGATCTTGATAATAGTCGGCTATTTTTGTTGAATCTAAATCTCGAGAATATTTTAATATCAATTTGATGAGACATAATTTTTGGCATTAATAATCTGATTAGATCCCGAGAGCTTTAGGTCTAGGGCTTTAATCAATTGATTATTAATGCCAAAATTATGTGAAATCAAATTGTAAAATGTTCAAGAAATTTAGCAACAACAAAAATAGCAGAATACTAATCAAGGACGTGTTATATTTGGGACGACTATTTCACTAGACCAAATATTGACTATTTCTCTAGAGAAATAGTCGCTGATATTTGGTCTAGGGAGATAGTCATAAATATATTAATTATTAAGCTTTAGGTTTAATTTATTGTGTTCTTATAGTAGGTATGTAATAAGTTTTTATTATATACTTTATCGTTGTATTATTGTTAACATAGATGTTTGATTCAATTCAAACTCAGGTCAGAAACTCTGTTCGTCACAGAACGATTAAAAGAAGTTGGGAAAATATTACCGACACTTAAAATCAATGGATTATGTGGACTAAACATGTAGACAAAACCAGTACCTACAAATAGATAAAAAATCGATCCTTTAAACTACAAACATAAATTTTAAATTTCTTCTATAAAAAAACTAATTGAAAAAATCAACATCGATTTTATCCCGATTCTCTAATCTCGTAAATTATTCCGTGACAGACAATATATGCGTTTCGTCAACAAAGATCCAATTCGAGAGCGATACCCGTATTTTAGTTTTTGACATTAGTAAAGCTTTCGGTTAGGTCTGACACGCCACTTTCCCAAACAAAATTTATTCACAGTCTGGCACTAAAACTGTGCAAATGAGTTTCATCTCTTCGGGATAAAACTCCAACGAGAATCGGCTGTTCACCGAGAGAACGAGAGAGAAACAACGAGAGGTATACAGGGTGAGTCGGGAGGAGCGCACCAAACTCTAGGAGTATATTATACACGTGAAAATAATGTAAAAAAACTCATATGTTCTTATCCGATTTTCATTTGTTTTCAAATAAAAAGATTTTCCTAGTATTCTGATTAAAGTAATACAAAAAACCTAACTAATTTGTTAGGTAAATTAGTTAGGTTAGGTTAGTCCAGGAGCCATCGAGGGTAGCTTCGCAATTTTTATTTACATAAAATGGGGAACAAAACTTAACCAATTTACCTAACCTTCACGGCCTGAAAACCTCGCGAGTAATTTCGCAAATTTTTTTTACATAAAATAAGAAACAATTTAACTAATATACCTAACCTGCATGGCCTGGGGCCATCGTGAGTAGCTCGCAATAATTTTTTACATATGTGGCCTGGACAATTAAAACTTTTTTAAACCATCTTTGACAAAAATTAAGTTTGCATCCAATAAAAAATATTATTCATCTTTTTCAATTAGTTTTATTTCAATAACAAATCAAACGGAGCAATTTTTAAAGTACTTTATATCAAAAGCAATATTTTCCTTCAATTTTGACTTATAGACATGGGGGGGTAACACTTCTCACATTATTGGTGAATGCGCAGCGTGTTATCTTAGAATATGGTACCAATGCAACGTCTATGTGTATTTCCAGAAAGTTTTTTCTTACTTTTTAGCTTTAAATTTGTTTATTTCTTATATGTGATAGTGTTTATATTAAAAAACCCAGCAAATTGCAATCTATATGGTAATGTCAAAATCAAAATTAAAGTATTCATTATTTTCCAAGCGTAAGTCGTAAAATTTTGTTTCTTACGATAAATGGATATCTACAAATTCACAATATTGAAATTTTGCAAAACTTTGTTTAGAATCAAACTGCAATCTGATTTGTGACGGTTACATGTATACAAAGTACTACACAATTCACTTCATAATATAAGAATAAAGATTTTTGAATAAGTTCATCAATAATAAACGTTTGGTACCTGAAATGTCCTTTAAACCACATAATAAAAGATGTCATGGGTTTAGTAAATACATATTTCTAGATGTTCTTGTAGCAACCAATAGGAGAGTATTTCCAACAAATTAAGTCATACACATGATAAATATTACATTTATGACGAAAGCACGAAAATTAAACTTAAATTAACACTAAATGAAACTCAATAACACTATTATAATGAGAATATTATCTAAAAACAGTTAATAATCACAAATACAAAATCCTGCCCAAAACAAACACATGTGAATAAACAGACATCCTACTTATAGGTGACAAATGACAGGCGCGCGAAAATTAATTTGAATCGCGAATAGACAAATTTGTTAAGGAATTTTATGATAAGATAATATACAGGATGTTACATTTGAAAAAATTGAGTAAATTGAACTTAATAGCCATATTTAAGACATGTTTCAAAACACTCTGTATAAAATATACCAATTCTATCATCACTATTCATTAGCTTAGTATCTTATAAGTATATATTAAACAATTTTAAAACCTAAATTATGATAATGTAATTTGGGGTCTGCATCATTGTCTAATTTCAAAAAAAATGTATTGTTTTGCAACTCTCTAATATTTTTTTTAAAACATTTCAGGGTTGTATATAGTATAACCAAGCCATTCTGAAAATAAAATACAGGGTGTTCTATTTAAAACACATAAATTTTTATTTGCCAGCCAAAAACGCAACACCCTGTATATCCAAAACTATTTTTAAAATATGTATTTTTCAAATCCATATAACTTTTATTTCATATTTGTTTTCGTGTCTATAACACAAATTGAAATATTGAACAATTACGCACTAAAGGGACACCCTGTATTACCATTGAATATCTATTTGTTTCTATAATATTATTTATTGGGTGTATTTGTGCTCTCTGAACTGCGGACTTGAATTGGATTTTTACCATTGCATATTCGAATTTTTGTTAATAAATAAGACTTGATTGAGAGATGTACAATAGAATCATAATCTTTTATTATTTTCAAATAAAAAAACACATCAACCTATTATAACACCTTTACGGCAATTGGTGGAAGGTTAAATCTTTCACAAATAATATAGTATTGTCAAATCTAAATGATAGGATTTGCTGCTAATGCTACTAGCAAATTGGGATTGCTTTTTAGTACAAGGAAATTGTTTCCTCTCTAAGGCGAACCTTTTATATTGCTAAATAAGACCTAAAATTGAATACTGTTTTTTCATTTATTTCAAGCTTTACTTTCTTCCGTAAACAAAGAAATGCTCGTTTCCGAAATGATCGATGGATTTGTGAAGTAACAAGGCGAGACAGAGTACAAAATCTAATAGACCCCGAAATATAAGATTTTACCAGCTCTTATGCCGGATATGTCGCAATATACCTACAGCGTTTTCGAGAAGGAAAATACGGGTAGTCGACACAGTTTAAATGAAATAGACCAGAATATTTTCAACACGTCGTTATTTATTTGATAATAATGATGATGATAATTCAGAGCAAATTTTTAGAAATAATGTTTTGTTTACACTAACTAAAATATAGTCTAAGAGCTGTATAGAATCGAAGAGGGATTATTATAGGCTGAATTGAAAAAAAATATGTGTTAAATTGTGATTTAAAACCATTATTCATTAATATTTCCTCGAAAAGGTACCATATAGAATAACTACACATTGTTACAGCGTTGCTAATTGTTTTACCTGAAAGACATAGATAGTTTTAGTGGTTTGTATTTTTTTGCCTTGTCTTATTTGACTTTTGTGGAAGTTTCTAAATCACAAATCCAGGATTCAAGTTCAATACTTCAAATTTAAAAATAGCAATATAAACAAAATTGTAAGGATTAATTTCAGTTTCAAACTGATATTTAATATACAGGGTGTTTCTTAATAACATGCTAATATTTGAGGGCGTGATTGTTGGACCCATTTTAAGAAGAAAACTTCATAAGAATGTATTTGTTAAACGCCTTAACTTTTGAGATACAGGGTATTAAAGTTTTAAGAAAAATCAATTTTTTATTGTCATTTTCATACTATTTTATGAAATTTGGTGTACGGCGTTTATGTTTTTTATTTCCAACAATGACATCCGTACTGGACTCAGGCTAGATATTTTTTAAGGAAAAAGTAGTACGCCACTGCTTTCCCCGTTCAATTTAGAACAAATTTAATTTGTTGACTTTTTCATACGACTCACCGTTTTCGCACAAAAAAATTAAATCCTCTTAAATAAATTATTGTTCAAAGTTACATTAATCGTTTTTTCTCGTAATTGGTCCAATGAGATGCAAATGTATGAATATAATTTTTTTTGTGCAAAAACGGTGAGTCGTACGAATTAAATTTGTTCTAAATTAATCGGGGACTCCAAAAATAATTTTTATTTTAAGAAAAAGCAGTGGCGTACTACTTTTTCTTTCAAAAATATCTAGTCTGAGTCCCATACGGACGCCACTGTTGGAAATAAAAAATGTTTTCAGGTCAAAAAATGCTCTTTAATACACAAACACCGTACACCAAATTTCATAAAAATATTTAAAGTGGTATGAAAATGACAATAAAAAATTGTTTTATTTTTTTTTATAAAATTAACACCCTATATCTCAAAAGTTAAGACGTTTAGGACATACATTCATATGATTTTTTTAATGGGTCCAAGAATCACCCCCTTAAATATTGGCATGATATTAAGAAACACCCTGTATATCTGAAGTTTTTGTTACTTGATTTTTTAGGGAATATAATTTTGTTGCAAATATTATTTTAAACATGCGTGGTACTGTCTAAATGCA